GGGGAGCAGTGGGCTTGCTCAGAGATACAGAGTGGCAGTCTGTGGGAGTGGGGCTCAAACTCAGAACCTCAGGATTCCAAGCTCTATGCCCTAACCACTAGGCTGCCCTCCCCAATCTGAGTCACATTAAAGACATTTTTATTAAAACCTTGACAGAATGAGCAATAATTATAATTACTATGGTCAAATTTGCAATGATATTAAAGTTTCCATCATTATTAGAACTATAATTGATTAAAAGGTTGATGTTTTTTTACTGTCCACTGAATGAAGCCTCTCAGATAATTAGTTCATTAGAACAGAAAGCTTTGAATGTCTGTATTCTGTCTTTATAACTGGGAGGACCCAGAAAGGACCCAGCATCGGTATCCTCTGCCTCCAGCAGTAAGTTATTCTAGCTCTGGGCCAATTTTAAGGCTTTCATTGCCTTGGTCACTCTCTGACAGACTTACTTACTTACCTAGTTACGAACCTACCTACCTACTTAGTTCAGAGAAACCGGCCACAATCAAACTTGCTTGCGAACCTTCCGCCACAACAATCCCCTTGATAATCGACCAATCACATTCACTTTATTCACTAGTGTAAAGTCGTGCACCACTCTGGAGAATTCAGAAATGGAACTGTTGGAACAGCCGTTTCCCTAAGACTTTAAAGTGCAGAGGGCAGGTCTTTTAAAAAATCCTCCACAATACTCAAAAATACTCCTTTTTAATCTGTTGAAATTCATGTTAAATTGACTTATTTTAGGAAATGTTTTTAGCTCAGGTTTTGCAGTGTGAATGTTTCCACTCATCCCTCCTCTCTCCTCTACTTAGTTACTTACCTACTTACTTACCTACCTACTTACCTACTTAATTACCTACTTACTAACTCAGTTACTTACTTACCTCCTTATCTACCTACTTACCTACCTACCCACTTACTTATCTACTCACGTACCTACTTACTGACCTATTTACTTACCTACCTACTTACTTACTTACTTAATTACCTACTTACTCAGTTACTTACTTACCTCCTTACCTACCTACTTACTTACCTTCCTACCCACTTACTTACCTACTCACTTACCTACTTACTTAGTGACCTACTTACTTACTCAGTTACTTACCTCCTTACCTACCTACTTACCTCCTTACTTACCTTCCTACCCACTTACTTACCTACTCACTTACCTACTTACTTAGTGACCTACTTACTATCCTACCTACTTACTTACCTACTTACTTACTCAGTTACTTACCTCCTTACCTACCTACTTACCTCCTTACTTACCTTCCTACCCACTTACTTACCTACTCACTTACCTACTTACTTAGTGACCTACTTACTATCCTACCTACTTACTTACCTA